CTTGGATAATCTAAAACAGATTTTAGAGAGGGTCTTGTGGCAACCATAACTGTACCCAATCCACAAGTTGGATTCCACATTTAACTGTTTTTGAAGCAAAGGCCAAGTGGTCGGTCACAAATGGCGGTGGGAAGACTGGCCTAGAAGCCTGTGTGAAGGCCTCATTTGGGGGCAGATTTGTGTTTGACAAACTTTTGGTTTATTGACCACACACAGACAAGAACCTTCCTGTTCAACTGTGGCCTGTCAGCTCGGTACACAAACGGGACTGTGAGAAAGTCAGGCTAGTGTTTACCGAAGTCTTGATGTAACACCTCTGATTCAGACATCAGTGCCTCCACTGTCGCCAAGGGCATCTCCACAGAGATGCAGTATCTGAGAAATAGATTCTGCAAGGTTGGGCTTACCATTCCTAGAAGTACTCACCCTCACATATGTGCAACAGGATGAGAACATTTAAATTGTTGTCTTTATCTGTTTAAAAAAAAAAAAAAAAGAAAATGTTCTTTACCTCATGTCTTTCATGATAACGTATTTGATTGACAAGTATAACCTTAAAACAAAGCTTTCTGTGGTTTCCCATCTTTTGAACTCCTGAACAATAGACGGCTCAGTCCTGGTACTTTGTTGATTAGTTTCCTCATTACTGCGTTTAATGAAACAAGCCGTCCTTCAAAGAGAAACTTAAAGCCACGGCGGGGTCACAGAGGTCGCCTAAATAATCTCCCTTGATGATGTCCTGCTGATAGAGAGGCAGCCAGGCATCCCCAGCCAACCAGAGAGGATGTGGCCGTCCTCATCTCCCAGAACTGATCACATCTGGCCTCCCCTCAGTGAACTCTGCACTCAGCCGCCTCAACCACCTTCCAAGCCTGCTCTCCCAGGGTGGAGCCCCTGTGGCCTGAGGAGTCCATTTTTAACATTTTGACAACTCGGCTATGGGAGTGTTTCATCATTGCTGCACTCCTACGTCCTCACTCCCCTGTTCTCCACCAGAGAAACATCGATATAAACATCTGCCTTCTTAACGTTTAGATCCATCAGTGGAGCAAACATTCAATCTGGTTTCAAACTGCTTTAAACCCTGAAGATGATTTATTTTCTGCACACCACTAGTATTAAAGCTGGGTGTGGCCAAGACCTTTAACCTTAATTTGAAATGATGGTGTTTCAGTGAGGCACTGGACAGAGAGGTTTGACTGCATGGCCTTCACTCTAATTCAGTTCACAATTTAAAAATGCTTAATTCCAAAGTTTCTCGTATAATACAGGATTCTTCAGAGTTGTTGTAGATACCGACAGCTGTGTACAGGACGACTCTTCCTTCAGTAGAAACAAACTGTTTTATGAAAGAGGCAACAGGCTCTTTCTGTATTCTTTTATGAAAAGCCTCACTTTATTAATTCCTACTTAATGTTTTGAATTGTCAGTTTCAAGGACAACTGTTAAAACCGATTAAAAGAAAAAAAGCTTTGGCATCTTAGAGATCCACCAAGGCGCATTGGTAAATGACTCAAAATTATTTAAAAAATTTGACCTTTGACCGATAAGAGAATACAGTTTTCCAAACAACCTTTGTGTTTTATCAGCAAAGTTATGTGATGTGGAAGTTGTTTCTGAGCAGAAAATACTGTTATTCTCAACATAAGTTACATTGCGACAAGTTTGCTGTTCTTATAGGCTGCAGAAGAGTGAGAGAGAGCAAGACATCAGCAGGTAAAATGTCAACTTTAATATTCTCCTTGTTTATTGCAAAAACAAACCATTTTTTTTTACTGTGATTCTTCTCTTACACAGATGGCATGATGTCACCTTCTCTCCTAATATAAGTAATAATAAATGACATCTTTCAGGAGGAAAGTTAGGAAAAAAATACAGTTCCTATGGACTAAAATCATTACCAGCAGGTTATAACTTTACAAAATCCTTTTTGAAATTGGCCACAAAATTGTTTTTCATATCTTTTTAAGAAAGAAAACCTCCATTTACTTTCAAAATCATTATCCTTTATATCCACTGCCTGGTAGATTTTTAGGACGGGCGCAGTGGCAGTCTTGGAAAGCTTCTGACGCTGTCAGAGACATGTGAAGGCAGCAGGGAGCAGTTGTGACTCTTGCACTCAATGTTCATCAGCAATTCCTGACAGCAACTGGTGGCCTCCAGCCGGCCCACCAGTTGCCATGACATTGTTTTGTTTTATGTTTCACCCATGGGACGTGCTGTATGGCTGGCCATATACGGAGCGGTTCCGGGCAGCTATGATTGAATGGGTTATCTTTTAGTTTTAAAAGCTGGTGATGAATTACTGATTCCTAGTAACTAATTAACCCGGTTTTTTTTCCCCCACATCTAGGCTCTTTGAATACAGTGCAGTATTGAGTTGGAAGCACTAATAATGTCTGGATTTCATCAGACTTTAGATTATCACTGCCCTCGTTTTGAACTGAGGGCTTTGTTTATAACTGTTTCCACAGACTGAGATACAAAAAGTTGGTATCCAGACAAAATGTAGTATCTAGGAAAGTATTTTTATTTTAAATATTTGCTCTAAGATCTTTGCACAAGTTTGGGGAAAAAAAATCACATGTTTTGGAAAGGTTGTTCATTTCCTTTTCTTCCTTTTTGTTTTTGCGTTTGTTTGCCAAAATGTTAAGACCTCTTATTTACAATAAGCCCTTCCTCCCATATCCCACTGCTTGGCCACTAGTCTGCTCCCATAGTCTCTGTTCTCTGCCCTTTCTGTAATTTGTCTTTAAATGGAGGAAAAGCAGGATAAACACCGTAACTGTGGCAAAACTACAAAAACAAGGCCTGTAAAATTTCAAATAGATTTTGTGTACGAGCCTTTTATGCACTTTTGTGCAATTCTCACCAATTCACAAGACGACCAACAGGATGGCAGATTAGAACGAAATGAGTTCTAATCACATGGTTAATATTTTTTACATGCAGATTATCAAAACAACTTTCAAAAAAAACAAATTTAACAAGTGGAGACAATTTAAAGAGCAATAACTGTAAGTCTGATGTATTTAAATGAAGTATTTCAGGTAAATGTATTTGTAAATGCTTGTAAATTTTCTGCTTCGGTTTTCCAGCATTGGTAGGATTTTTTTTAAATGATTGAAATGCAGTGCTTAAAGAGTAAACACTTTATTTCTAGTTTTTTCCACCAGAAAATATGACTTCATAATCAGTCACATTGCTAGGATTGTCTTTTTCAATAATATGTTATCTGCTGCTCAGTTATTTTGACTCTCTCTAGAGTCAAAAAGGTTGTGACAAATTTTTATCAAGACAGAAAGGTGACTTTTGTATAAATGGGATTTGTTTTCTAGGGATTGCACATGTAACAACGTTACATTCGTTATGTGAAATTGGAAACTCATTTTTCCTTCTCGTTGTTTCAACTCTTTTCCATGTGACCTGACTTTCTTAAGGGCCACCTTCAGTTGGAGTAGCTGCAGCTCACTGTGTGTAGTTTGTGATTGTGTGTGAGAGAGGGAGAGAAAGAGGGCTGGGGGAGGGGTCAGTAAGGGATTTGGCAGCTCCTTTGATCAATAAAGCATAAACAAGAGGGGGGCTTCAAAATGGGTTTCATTGTGTCAGGGGGAGGAGTTGCTGAGTCAGGCCCACTCGCTCTCTGGTCTGGGATAGAGAGTGGCCAGGCAGGCTAGGATTACTGGACTGACCAAGAGAAACTTTCTGAATCCGACTGCGCCCAGCTGTTCCAGAATCTGCTCTAAATGGCACTTTGGGATCAAATGAACTCCAGGCAGCCAAACATGTCTGTAATGTGCTGTTATTGAAGTTTAATAGTAGTATTAATTGGCATCACAGATGTAATCTTGTTTTTGTCCCGGCCTGCTAAGATTATTCGTTCACTAGTACAACAATAAAGCAATATTGTTGAACTGGACAAACGCGCTACTGGAGTTTGGTGCCTTTTTTTTGTTTCGAATGAGGGAACGGGAGGAGGACGGAGGGTGGTGGTGGTGGTGGCAGGGCCCTCTAAATAGGATGCTTCAAAAACAAAACAAGTGAATAGTTAGGTTTTAGGTCGTAGCTCAGTCTGCGCCTTTGTCAAGCAGGTGAAAGCTTTGTAAATGTGGCGCCAGATTGTTAAAGCCCCTGACACTCCGCGGTGTCCGAGCCGCTTCCAGGAAAAAGGGACCCCCTGCGTTGAGCCCTGGGACTGACCCTCCCTCAATAGAGAGGGTCCTGCCTGGGAGAGGAGGGCTTCCTGTATTAGCTTTCCATCTTAATCAAGCAACAAGTGCCAACAAAGCACTAATTATCAATGCCTTCACAGAGTTGCACACAATGCGCACCCCACTCCACCCGCCCCTGTCCTGTCCCGTCCCGGCAAAGATGGTCAGAAAATAGATGAAGCAACATTGTCTGACGTTAGAATAGCTATTTCGAAACCAATTACAGCCTCTTGGAAGCTTTCAAGACATTTTCTGCTCATCTTATGTTTCTTTTTTTTTATTATTATTATTTTTTTTTTTTTGCGCCATATTTATCTGAAGATCATGTTTTCTTAGGGGATGTGAACATTTTTACACCAAGATAATTTGAGTTCATAATAAATTGGCTCAGGTTGTACTTAATGGACCAGGACTACATTATGCCTGTTGGCGTGTGGGGTTCCTCAGGGCCCCAATCTAGGGCCACTCTGTAAGATCCTCCAAGCTGAGACTCTGCAACATTTCTTAGCATGTGTATGCTGATGATGCATAACTTTATTTGTGAAACAATATATTTTAGGACTGAAACGTTTAATCGTGATGAATCAATTATCGAAATGATCATCAGCTAATTTAGTAATGAGTTTAATCATTAAGTGGAAAACAGACTAAAAACAAGGCCGTTTGCTGAAATTAATTGCAGTCCCTATTTTATTTTATTTGTTATTTTTATTTTATTTTCATTTTTTGGTGTGGTAAATTAGTCATTAGAAGGAAATTAATTTATTTTCTTGTCTTTTCCTCTTGCAGCCACAATGATAAAAGTACCACCTGGCAGGATCCTCGCAAGGCCCTCCTCCAGACGAGTCAGCCGGCTCCCCCCAGTTCTGTTCCAGTCCAGCCGCAGAACCTAATGAACCCAGCCAATGGTGTGTACTAAATCATACTATTTATTTATTTTTTTTTAGGTAATTAATTAATTTATTTTTCATTTTTTTATTTTGAACTCAAAATGATTGTAACGTATATATGGACAGCTACATTTGCGCAGCACGGTGTAGAATACGGGTCTGGTCTCGTTCTTGCTTGTCTCTGCTCTCGGTTCTGACCATGCAGCTGGAATTTGCCCCAGGTGAGGGAAGGCTCGGGCAGAACGTTACACGTCCTCTGTGTTGTTTTGAAGCTCTGACTCTCAGATTAGATTTCTAGAAAATAAAGTTGCTTCTTTGTGTCCTGTGGATTCATTTCAGCCTGTTTAGTCATTGGCAAGTGATAAAACCTTCAAATGTTGGGAACTTTTTAGTTGTTGTGGCGTATATTCTGGAGCTACTTAAAAATAAATTTGAAGCTCATCTTTGCTTAAGTTTATAAATGTTTAGGTCGCTACAATACAGAGTCACTTATTGCAACATATGCAAATCTTGTCAGTGTTTTGGTTTGTAATCCCCCCAGGACCCCTTCCTGAACACTGGGAACAAGCCATAACATCAGAGGGAGAAATTTACTACATCAACCATGAGAAGAGGACCACATCCTGGCTGGACCCTCGACTTGAGCCACGCTACGGTGAGTTTCCTAAAGCCAGAAAATGAGGGGAGACATTTTATGTTCAAATATATGTATGATTGAAACATTTCAATGATTATTTAGATTGAGTGTTAATCAAAGCATTTGATTACCAAGAGAAAGAAGTTGATATGCAATAGTTGGGTAACTCGGTACCAAATCGGGGATACAAGTTGTAGAGTAAAACTACAAGATCTCAGTTCAGCTCCAGTTTATTTCAGGATGTATTTTGCATCATAACTTACTTTGAAAACATGCTTCCTAAGAAGAAGTGATTCATCCCTTCATGAGTCATGGTTCATTTGATCAGCCTCTATTGTTGGGGGGGCTTTTAATCAACCGCTGTTGTTTTCAAAGCAGATTTCTCCAAACCTCCCCCCCCCCACCATTCCCTGCCTCCCATCAAAATTCCCACCTAACCTTTTGTCGGCCATTTTATTGTTGGCCCAACAGCTGAGTTGGCCATTAATCCTTCAGGCCGAGCTGAAGTTTGACAGTTGGCTTTCGGCGTGTGGGTGCCAGCGTCGGTGAATTAGTGACAGGTCCTAGGTACATGTGCTGGAACGTCTCTGCAGCCATGGGAAAGAGCTAATCCCCCAGGGTGTTGGGAAGGCTTCCAGAGATCGAGGCTCCTGCATGTGTCCCTCTGACTCATTTCTGCTTCAGGTGCCATCCTTTCACTGCAGCCGTGTTTCCCCAGGGAAGCTCGCCCTCAGGTTCACAAAGGCAACATGTGTGGGTCGGCGTGCGGTGTGTTATCCTCTTTAATTTTAGCGTTTTTTCTTTTTGTGTGTTTTTTTTTTTTAGTTAAGGCCGGGCGCTCGAAGCTCTGGTTTTATGTAAGCGGTCGTGCCGTGCACAGAGGGCGGACTGGAAAGTTCAAAACAGAGTTGTAAGGGGAGCAGGGCAGCTGGGGAGGGAGATGGCGGCTGCGATCGGCAGAGCTCTTTGAAGATTTTGAAGTCTTGAACACACAAGGCGGCTGGGCCCCTGAAAGCTGGGGGAGAGTAAGGATGACTGTTAACTCCTGAGGTGCCGCAAACATTTTTTCTGCATTGTGTCAAAGTTTTGGCTACTAAAAAAGTTGTTTTCTTCAATTTATACCTCCTTGTTAGTTGCTTTTCTAGGCATTTTTGTTTTCCCCTAGAAGGAAAACCGGATTATTTCTAGCAGCCATACTTCTGAGTGTCTTATTTTATATTTTTGCATGGAAATTAATTCCTCTGGTTTTGTAGGTTTTCCAATTATAAGCTAGGTCCTGTGATAATGGAGGCTAATTTGAGCTTTGGGAAGAAAAGCGGCCGAGCGCCTTTAACTGAGGATTGTTGCCGGCTGGCTTTCCCCCGTGTGAGGCCCAGTGCAGGCACGGCCCCATTTTGCTCAAGCCCCAGACAGACTTGAAACTCTGCCAGGCCTCTTTATTCTGCGGTCCAACTCTTAATCTGTTCCAGACCTTTTCACAGGGGTGGGGGAGACTGGAAGAGGCGAGGCAAAGGAGGGGGAAGGAGCAAAGGGAAAAGGCCGATGGGATAAGTATGCCTCCTCTTCAAGGTCCCAAAGAGGTGACAAGCAGCAAATACAAGTATTAAGTGTACAGTGACTGGATTTAAAAGGGGGTGAGTGACGTGGGCATTTTATTTCTTTTATGCTTCCAGTGCTGAAGCGTAGATTCTCCGTAGTGGAAGCTTGATTTTTAAAGCTCTCGTAGATAAAAAGTGAAGTTTTCTCTTGCATAATCAGAAAAGTTTTCACTTTGATAGCTTTGCTACTATAAAATACACAATAAAAACACAGAAAGTTGACTTTTTAATTTTTCTTTAATTTTTAAATATTCTACCCTACGTCCCTGATGCATCGTTTGACAAAATGCCCACCTTGAACTTTGCTTGAAGTTTACGACGACAAACTTTCCCGTAGCATTATGCTGCCCTCACCATGTTTTAATGCAAGGATGGTGTGTTAGTTTTAGAAGCAGTAGGGCTTACTCGACCAGATCTTCCACGTGATCGCCGTCTCTCCAACAAACAAACGTCTCTCCTTCTCGTAAACAATTCTACAGCAGTTTGTATTGGTGTATCCCGCAAAACTGCATCTACAATAAAGCCCACACAATCTGAAAAGGTCTGAGGGTGTGAATGCTTTTACCTCAGTGTAGTACACAACAAAGGTGTGTTTCAATCACAGCCAGACTCTCTCTCCACCGGCTTATCTCGACACGAGAAACACAAGTGGCCTTCTCTTAAACTTGTTAAGTCGGGAGAAGGCAAATATTTACTCAACCTTCAAAGGTTCTGTGCCCTGGTCGTGCTGAGAACTTCCCACAGCTGGCACACCCTCGGCTTTACCTGCCCCAGGTGATCCCGTGCTGCGTTTGCCTGCCAGAGCGATCGGCTGATAAGGCCTCGAGTTGCTGGATCTTTGTGCTGCGGGAGTGCATGAAGAAGACAAAAGGCAGACTGCATTAACTAGTCTCTTATCGGCACGGCTCACCTGCAATCGCCACCTGTATGCGCTGCTGATTTACACCACGCACACGGTCACGTCCTGAAAGTTCAACCGTGCTGCTTGTTCTGAGCTGTCGCTCTGGCCCCTTTCCACCTATGATTTAACTTTGTCATCAGTGTTTGTGAATACTTTCGACTTAATGTTTTGTCTTTGGGGGGAATCCTTGACTGAGGAGCCCTGAAGGAAAATTCCATTTATATTTAAATCTGGGCTTAGTCGCGCTGCTTGGTTAAAAAAACAACAGATTTGCCCTGATTAGACTGATTACGCAACCCTGGTATTATGGTGAAAAAACTAAACACACACACACAGAGCTACTGAATCTTTGCAGGTCAGTGGTAGACCATACACTGCCTTTGAAAAGTTTTCATACTCCATGAATTCTTTCACATTTCCCACAAACAAACCATAATATTGTGCAGCAGAGCGTGACTGAAGTGGAAGTTCAACAATACCTGGATTTTCAGCTTCACATACAGACACCTCGACTCTTATATCCTTAGTAATATCCAGTTCACCCAATTAGAGGTAACCTAATTAGTAATCTTGTAATAAATGTAGCTGTTGGATAAAAGGCCTCAGAGGTTTGTTGGAGAAAAATGGTGGACAAACAAGAACATGAATAACAAGTCAGGGAGGAAGCTGTAGAGAAGTTTAAAAGCAATATTTAGGGATGCACTGATCTGAAAATTTTGACCAATGTCCAATATTATTCTCATCACTGTTATGGGCAATAACCAATATTTACCAATATTGTATGTGTTATATCTATTGACATACGTCTTTAAAAGTATGAAAAAATGACCACACCACTGGCGTTGCTTCTCTCCTTCAGTTATAAATGCCACAATCCTGCACTGCATCACTATCACATACCCAAACACCTCTTAGTCAAACCCCTTCACTCCCTTTCCTGAAACACAAACCGCAACGAAAATGGAAATGCACGTCTTTTGGCAGTATCGGCTTAGTTTTACATATCGGATCAATATCAAAATGACAAAAAAAAATTCAATCCAATTGAGAATCTGTGGCAGTAAACATAAGTTGCTGTTCTCAGAAGCTTGAGATGGTGAGTAAAGATGACACAAATTGGTTTCGAAACATGCAAAACTTGTAATTAAACGACTGCAAAGTGGCGCAAAAAGTTTTGCGAGGCGCTGCGTTCTGTTTCTCTGAGTCTGTGAATCCAAATTGAAAAGTTTTCCAGATTGTCGGAGTTTTTGCCTACCACTTAAATATATCTCCTCATCAAAGCTCGAGTCTTGACGGATGCGGTGCTGTTGACATGACTCATGCACAGGAACGCCATCATGAGAACAGTTGAGGGTGCCGTGGTGCCGGAAAGATCCAGCCTCCAAAGGCCTCGGTATCTGCACGAGATAAGAAGCAGGAGAGAAGTAACACACTCTCCTAAGGGTGCATGCAGATAATGTGTGTGCGCGTGTGTGTGTGGGAGCGGGGGAGGCAGCTCCGTGACTAGTGTGTTTGTTTATGTGCATGCGGGTGGGGTGGCGAGCGGGGGACTGTGTGGACACAGAGCATGGAGGGGTGGAGGGGCGAGATGTGAGACGGTGTGGGGCCTTCGGAGCTTCCCAGGGAGAGCCCTGAGCTACAGTTCATTCAGCTCCTGCAGGAGTGTAAACAGACAGTGATTGAATGGTGATGAGAAAGGTGCCGAGGAGGGCAGGACAGTGGAGCACAGAGACGCGGCCCCGCATGAAAACTGTGCCACTATCACGCTTTTGTTTTGGTTGTCACTTGGATCCCATGAGCAAACGCCGCTCCTCATTGGTTCCATTACTGGAACTCCCCTCTCCCTACTACAATGATAAAGCTCGTGACCTACTTCGCATGCATAGATTGGGGCATTGCTTTGCTGCCTTATGTTTATTAGGTCCACCCCCACCACAGCTAAGAATAACAAAGATTTCACCAGGGGAACAGCTGTGTTTTCATCACAAACACATTTGATATTGTAAACACGTAGTTCGCTTGCTGAAGCACAAGGCACTACAATTGTTGTGTGAAAGAAACTTGTGTTAAGGGTGGTTTTGTGTTTATACAAGCCGATGTAGCGCTTCGTCTCCGAGGACTATCAGATTTATTAGATCAGCTGACGAGGACCTGTCGGGCCGGGAGGAGGAGGCGGTCAGTGTTCAGGGATGATCTGCGACTTGTTCAAGTCGAAACAAAAGGCATAATGAAAGGATAAGTCATGCCTGATGCAATGTACAAAGCCTGTGTTAGTCAGTGAGTGGGAGAGGATCAGGTCTTACAGGAATGGTGGTTTCAGATTGTCGATAGAAAACCTTCTGCTGGGACTTCTTGTCCAACGCAACCGGCTGCACTGGATCGCCTCTTCCGCACGCTTAGCTTGTTGACAAATGTGCAACTTGTCAATCATGTCCAGCACGTCTTAAATGTAGCCAAGTGTTGAACAAAACGGAAGTTTCTCGGCTGCCGATCTGATTGCGGTGTATCTGTCATGTAGT